CTATTGTGTGCAGGAAATAACCCAAAGGTATTCAAAGAAATAAAATTTGATAGATGGATGGATTTCATCTTGTGGAGTCTGGAAAATTAAAGTATGTGTACCATAATATAGATACTTATTCAAGATTTCAATGGGAAACTGCTTTAAATTTTGAAAAGGCTGATTCTGTAATTACACATTTATTAAAGCCCTCGCCATTATGGGGATACTTGTCCAAATTAAGACTGACATTGCTCCAGCATATGTCTCTAGTAAAACAAAACAGTTTTTTTTTTCATATTACAACATTAAGTATATTGTAGGTATATCACACAATCCTATAGGACAAGCAGTTATAGAAAGAGCTAGCTGCACTCTAAAAGATATGCTTAATAAACAGAAAGTAATAAAACCCCAAAATACATTATACAGTGCTTTATTAAATTTAAATTTTAAAAATGCTAATGAGAAAGTAATGACAGCCATGGAGAGACACTGAATAGGAAAAAACCTATTTTTCATCAGGAAAAAACCTGATGAATTAAATCATCCCGTAAAATTTAAAGATGTGTTAACCTCAGAATGGAAACTAGGATATGTATAACATTGGAAAAGAGGTTTTGTTTTTTTTTTCCCACAGGAGAAGAAAAACTACAGATACTATAAAGATTGATAAAGATTAGATTTGAACAGGAGAGACCTCTTGATTAAGGAGAGTCATAAACAGCTTGGTCATTCAATCCAGACTAACTTGTAAGACTAACAAATGCCTTTCATTTGATAAAGTATGGGAAAAAAGAACTCCCTAAAGTTAGGTTTGGGGCAGGGTTTTGTTTTATCTTTTCAGGAGAATAAAAGCATCTGACTAGGAATCAGAGGCCACTGTACAAATGAGACATCTGAAGAAAAAGGATAAATCATCTAGACAAAATGTCCCCCCCGAAAAAGAATAAATTGCCCTAATGGTTTAGCCCACCTTCGACAGGGTAGAATTTCATAAATCTTCTCAAATGCTTATTTTTGCTGCTTTCTACCAAACATAAAAGCTAAATAATCCTCTTTGCGTTCTCAATTACATTAAAAATCAAATCGGGCTTTAGAGTTAGAGCATGGCTACTCCTTTTCTAAACCCAAGTGGCTTGTTAAAGAAAAATCCAAAATTTATCATGTCAGAAAAGTCACTTGGTATGGTACAGAAGAAAACCAAAATTAAGGAACAATTCTATGGCTACTAATCTCATAATTCTTTGGTTTACTCTGGCTCTTTAAAACTTTTCTGAAGATATAACTATCTCAAAATCTATCTGACTACTATGTATGTCTAAGCTTTCTGTTGGGATACTAGTAGTCATACAGAGTACTAACTAATTTGAGAAATAAGCTTCATCTAGCTTCCTGTATGTGTTTTCCAGTTTGAGTCTGAAGTAGGTAACTAGGAACTAAGTTTGTACCCTGGATGTACTTAATAGACAGTGGTCCTCCAACCTTTTGAAGATCTGCTGTATATGGCATTTCAAATGTATAGGCTTTCTACAGTGAACTATGCCTATTCCTAACAGCAATCTTTGAGGTGTCTAAAAAGATGATGGTGCCCACAATGACGAATCCACTTAATGGTTATGATATTAAGCTAACAAACACCACCCAAGTATCAGTTTGAGACTACAAATTTCTCAGGACAACTTCAAAACTGCTAGCTGGGAGAGTTTAGCTTTAGTCATTTAAAAATGTAAAGTTATAGTCCTTGAAAGATACTATTTCAGATTGTTTAGGATAATTAAGAGATGCATTAGTCATTTATAACTATCAAACTTCCAATCATGTTAGATATGTTTTCAATGTTAAACAGATATATTTTAGATAGATAGGTAGTCTTAAAACACTTCAGAGATCTATAGACTATGGCATTTAAAATATTTTAATAACATAAGGCTTTTTATGATAGTGAGATATGTCTGCTCCTGGCAGCACCAATCTACTTTTTTTTAGAAAAAAGGATGTGGGCATCAAAGAACCTCCATATGGAGTTTGTTTGCTCTGTGGCAAAGCTAGGCACTGGGCAAGAAACTGCCCTTGCCACAGCTGCTGACAGTATGCTGTCCAAATTGGACAGGCAGAACACAAAGGAAACCGACTGCCAACTTTTGCCAAGACAAGGTGGGTAATTTCTTTAAAACTCCTGCTTCACAGAAAAGTCTGTCAGGCATTTCAGGCCTGTAGACTGAAGATGGATTGCACACAAACGTTGGCTGACTTCTCAGGCAGCCAGGTATCTCTGTCATTTCTAGTTTTGGAAGTTGCTTGCTCTGCACTTCCTGTTTACTCGGGTAGTAGTTTATCCTTTTCAGGTCTCTGATGGGATTGAAGACTAGACAGTTATAGTTTTACCATTTTCTTTGTTACAAAATTAAAAAAAATCTCAAAAGAAATACAAAGTTTATAAAGGTTGAGAGACATAAAAGGTTAAGTTGTTTAACAAAGAAACTATTTTAAGTTCTAAAAAGATAATTTTAGGCTAGTAATACAAGTTACAATAGAAAGTGGTGTGGGTATAAAACTGTGGATTCACCAAGATAGGATAGATAATAGAGTACTTTCTTCGAATTTGCCAAATACAAATAGACTGAACATTGTGAATGTAATTCTTACGGTTCTTATTGTATATAGTTTTACTGTGTTAGAGTTAAAACCTTTTCTTTTTATTTAGACAAAAAGAAGGAAATGTTGTGGGATAATTGACTGCCCTGTGAAACTGTATTAAGAAAATCAACCTTGGATCAGGGGGCAGAGTCAGAAACTAGTTGACAGGAATTGGCCATAGCAAGGACGGAGCACAGTCAGGAAGACTGGATAGAGACAGACACAGGAAGAAGTTCGGAGGGACTTGGAGTTTCATGGTCTTTTGGTTTGGGACAGCTGGAACGACTTCACTTGTTGGGTCTCTGGCCAAAAAGGAAGGTCAGCTGGTTTTTTCTCAGCCTCTTTGAGCTATCATGTTTTTACACAAACATCTGACTACTGAGTCTTTATTGATAAATAGAATAAAAGAGACTTAGTTAAAAACGTTTGGTGGCAATGGCAGAGAAATCCCACTAGGTTGCAGCCTGAGTTGGCAGGGTGCTGACTTTGGGGCCTTGGGGCTGCAGAAGGGAGTTAAAATATCAGTAGATTCAGGCGCAGCCACTAAGCTGACAGAAAAACAAGACTTCTCATTTTTTTCGGTTGTTGTTTTGTTTTTGAGTCAGTCATCCTGTCTAGAGACAGGATCTCACAAATGATGAAGCCCTGGCTAGCCTGGAACTTTCTATTTAGGCTAGCCTTGAACTCACAGAGATATACATGCCTCTGCCTCCCAAGTGTTAGGATGAAAGTCATGTGCCATATGCCTAGCTTTAAGTCTTTTTTATCTTAAACTTTCTTCTTGGATGACTCCAATATTCATGACACCCATAAATGACTTAAGACTCCCAAAGATCTTTTCAAAATTTATTTCTCAATTGACTTTCAAGTGCCTCACTTTCCTTCTTCCCTAAGGGACTACACACTGAACCCAAAGCCTTGCCCATATAGGCAAGTACTTTACCATGAAGTTACAACCTTTATTTATCTATCTATATAGTTATTTACTATCTATCTAGTAACTATCAAAATGCCTGGCACACAGTCACTATTCTATCATAAATGAAGGAAGAAACTCACAAGACCCCACTCATATCACAATCAATAACTTCTGAGGGAAAACTGTGTTTTTCCCCCCAGGGGTGTGGTCTGAGTAGGTTGCCCATGCCTCAGTTGACGGTCCTAAACCCATGCACAATTAAACAATACTAACTGGACGCGGTGGATTACAAATATGAAAACATGAGGTTAGGAGGGAGATGGGAGAGGGTTCCCAGAAGAGTAGGAGGAGAGTGAAGGTGGGTATGACCAAAATTCCTTATATACTGTGTGAAAATCTCAAAGGATAAATACATTTAAAAATACTCGGCATAACCTCATCCACCATACATCTATTTACCTATGTATACATGTTAGAGATTTTGAGGGGGTAAGACAAGGTCTCATGTAGTCAGGATGGTCTCAAACTCACAACATTGCCAAAATAACCATCAACTCCTAATTCTCCTTCTCTCTACCCCCCAAGTTCTGGGATTATAAATATGTATCAAACATGGCTATGATATAGATTTACATACTAAAGTCCAATTCCACATATCCTAAGTGCTGTCTCACACCGACTACCTCTGCTTCACCCTTGCTTTCAAGCCTGTCTCTTCCCTAGTTCCCCTTTAGTTGTTGCTATTATTGTTTTCCAACCCCACAAAGTAAAAACTGAGAAGAAATGCCCCAGTCACTAAGTTCTACTGATGTAACCTCTCAAAGTACTCTTTGTTTTGTAGGGGGGGGGTGTGCGTGTGGTTTTTTTGTTTGTTTTGAGAAGGGGTCTCATTATGTGACTCTGGGCTGTCCTGGAACTCACTGTGTAGACCAGGCTGGCCTTGAACTCACAGACTCATTGCCTCTTCCTCCTGAGTGCTGAAATTAAAGGTTTGCACTACCGTGAATGACCACATGGGCCCAGAGTAGTCTCAATTCTTTGCCCTTCTTCCATTCCCACTGCCATTGCCTCTGTTCCAGTCCTCATCATACGGATTTCTTCTTTCAGTATTTTTGCACGATTCTATTTATACACATCACCTTATTATCATTTACTCAAGCGATCTGACTCAAAGGATGCAAGATTCCCATTTCCATAAAAGCAAAACTACAAACAACATGATTTGTCTGAACACCTCGGGAGGCCTGGAGTCTGGATATCTCACCGTACTCTTGGAAACTGGGGACTGAGTAAAGAGAAATCAAGACACAGCTGTTCTTCAGGGAGAACTGTGAGACGTACACATGACTGGAACAGCAAGGCTATCTGGATTTGTTGTGTGCGGTCAGACACTCTTCTTCTTAGCTGTGTGGTGCCTGTGCTAGACTTCACAGCAAGCACTAGAGCGAGAGAAGTGGCGTACCTGAGAGACTGTTTAGCTCAGTCCTGCTGGTCTTCACCTCATTCAAGAGTTGATCTCTCTCTTGTCTGATGTCCTTCACTGCTCGGAGTCGCTCAGAGCCTGCATTCACCAGCTTCACCTTCTCCAGTTCTAGGTCACTCACTCTGGCTTCAAGTTCCCGGATCTTTGCATCTTTTTTATCTTTTAAAATCTGTTTATAACATATACAAAGTATAGGGAAAGAAGTAAAAGAATATGTACACGTACAGGAGAATAAACAAAAATAAAATCCCTAGCATCCATTCAATTCTATCTACCTTTAATTTTTTCAATATTTCTAAGGATATTTATATAGCTTTCTTGCAGTAAAATACCCATGAGAAGCACTGTGTGGTATATGTGGGGGTGGTACTTTGGCTCCTAACTTTCAGGATACATCATGACAGGAAGGCATGGTAGCTGGAACACCTCAGTCCACAGTGGCAGAAACATGTGGTGTGGCTTCCTCACATCTTGGCAGATCACAGAGCAGAGAGCTAAGGCCAGAACCCAAGGGATTATTACCTTCAAGACCTGCCTCCAGCCACGAATTCTGCTACTTAGGTCCCAAAGGCTTTAGAGCCAACATCACTACCAACTGGGGCACACGCAGTCCAACCATGAGCCTGCGGAAGACTTTCCAGACTCACACCCTAACAGCTGGCAAAAGGAAAAAGCAGTAGAACAAAGCAGTAAAGACCTTCTAATGCATGAGCCTGTGGGGACATTTTACATTCACTCAGAATATAACAACACGAAATCTGGACTTTACCATAAAACCCCAGTGTAAGTGGTAGAGAGAGAAGAAAGGAATGCGTCACCATTCTTTTAGACTCAGATGTCCATTCCAGGATCACTTGCCATAACCTGCAATTATTCTCTATTCATTCATGCTACAGTGGGTACTGTTCCATATGCTGGGGACACATAAGAGAGCCAGGACTAAGTGAGCCTGGATGTGAGGTCCCTATCTTAGACTTCTCTTGCCTTACCCAAGTCCTGAGACTGGATACCACCCACGTGATAGCTTTGTGCTCAAGTCTTCCTTAGGGAAGAGAGAGACAGGGAACTACTATGTGCGACACATCAAGAAAGAGACTAACAACGGAAAGAGAAGAGGTGTGAGGGAGGGGTGGACGTGAGGGAGGAAGTGAATGTGAGGGAGGGGTGGACGTGAGGGAGGGGTGGATGTGAGGGAGGGGTGGATGTGAGGGAGGAAGTGGATGTGAGAGAGGATTGGACGTGAGGGAGGGGTGAACGTGAGGAAGGGGTGAACGTGAGGGAGGGGTGGATGTGAGGAAGGGGTGAACGTGAGGGAGGGGCTGCTACTTGAGGCGAGCTGGAGTATAGAGAAGTATTAACACAGCAGGCCTGCTCCTGTCTGTCAGTTCTGTCAGGCTGGTCTTTGGCTGGCATTTAGGAATTCAGGAAAGCTTTGGTGGTTTGGAAGAAAACAGCCCCCAATGGGAGTAGGCACTATTAGGAGGTGTGGCTTTGTTGGAGGAAGTGTTTTACTGTTGAAGCGGGCTTTGATGTCTCCTTTGTTCAAGCTACTCTCAGTGTTGTAACAGTTTACTTCCTGTTGCCTGCAGATCAAGATGTAGACCTCTTAGTACCTTCTCCAGCACCATGTCTACTTGTGCACCATAATGCTTGCTGCCATGATGATAATGGACTAAGCCTCTGAAACTGTAAGCCACCACCTCAATTAAATGTTTTCCTTTATAAGAGTTGCTGTGATCGTGGTGTCTCTATACAGCAATAGAAACTGATAGGAAAACCATGCTTTTGTTTGAAGGAATAAGGACCTTGGTACAGTGGAATAGAAAAGCATTTGAATGCTTTAAATGCTGCTTAATGGCTATCCTAATAGGAACATGGAAGACCAGGATGCTGAGGGTGATTTGAGCTGTGGGGACCTGAATCAAGAGGTTTCAGAGGAGAAGAATTTTGGTATGTTGTCTAGAAATCATTCTTGTGATATTTTGGTGAAGAATGTGGCTGCTTTTTGCCCTTGTCTAAAGAGTCTGCTTGAGGCTAAAGTGAAGAGATTTGGATTAATTCTGTTGTGAGAGGAAATCTTAAAACAGCCTAGCATTGATTCTGTTATTAGTGTTAACTTTAATGAATATTTTTAATGAAAAGGAGCAAGCTGAGCAAGGAAAAATACAAACTGTACACTTTGAGGGAAAAAAGCTCCAGGAAGTAGAATGAAACTAAGTCCTGTGTTCAAGGAGATAAACAGATTAGGAAATGGAATAAAGGCAGTGGTGACCTCAGGGTAAGATCCCACCCAGCTAAGCTTCCAACTTGTGGAAAGGAATTAAAGAAAAGCTTAGACCTGGGTGTGATGGTGTAGGTCTTTAATACCAACACTCAGAAGGCAAATGCTGAAGGATCTTTGAGTTTGAGGCCAGCTTGGCCAGAGCAAGTTCTAGAAAAGCCAAGTTTAGGCAGTGAAGGAAACCATCGAAAACAGAAAGTTGGTGAAGATGTAATTGAATGAGGGGGCCATGTTCCAGTCCCAGAAAGCAGCAGAGCTTGGCAGCTTTGGCCATGTTGTTTTGGCTTTAGAATCAAGGATAGAATAAAGGGTTATGGAATCTTCCTCCATGATTAAGGAAAGCCATTGAAGTCAGGCATGTGTCAGGGGTGTCCCTGAATGATTATGGCCCAGAGAGATTATTGTGTGAAGCTGTGAAGTTGAAGCCTGAATTGCCTTGGAGAGCCCAAGATGTTGGAGATGCCAGGGTTATGGAATGTCTGCAAAGGAAAGCTGCTAACAGGGAGTGTAACCAGCCTAAGAAAAAGAAGTGTATTGCAGTCAACAAAGCTGAAAGGAGTTGGAGATCTGAAGAACACTTTGACATCACATATAGAGATGCAGTTTGGAGTTATCCCATCTGGTTTTCAGTCTTGTTAATCTAGTATTTCCTTACTGTGTTCCTTTCTCTATGTTTTGGAATGGTAATGTATATCTTGTCCATTAAACATTGGAAGAGCTAATACCAATACTCCTCAAAGTATTCCACACAACAGAAGCAGAAGGAGCTTTGCCAAATTCATTTTATGAGACTACAGTTACCCTGATTCCCAAACCACACAAAGATGTTAACAAAGACAGAGAACTACAGACCAATCTTTCTCATGAACATTGATGCAAAAATACTCAATAAAATACTGACAAACCGAATCTTAGAACACATCATCTACCATAACCAAGTAGGCTTCATCCCAGAGATGCAGGAATGGTTTGACATATGGAAATCTGTCAATGTAATCCACCATATAAATAAACTGAAAGAAAAAACACATGATTATCTCATTAGATGATAAAAAAACTTTCAACAAAATCCAACACCCTTCATGATAAAAGGTCTTGGAGAGGTTAGTGATACAAGGAGCATATCTAAACACAACAAAAGCAACTTACAGCAAGCCTAGATCCAACAGCAAATTAAATGGAGAGAAACTCAAAGCCATTCCACTAAAATCAGGAACAAGACAAGAAGGGCCACTCTCTCCATATCTATTCAACATAGTACTCGAAATTCTAGATAGAGCACAACAAAAGCAGATCAAGGGGATACAAACCGGAAAGGAAGAAATCAAACTACCAATTTTTTTTTTGTTTGCAGATGATACAATAGTATATGTAAGTGACTCCAAAAAACTCTACCTGGGAACTTCTACAACTGATAAACCCATTCAGTAATGTGACAGTAACTAAAACGAAAAAATCCTTAGGCCTCCTATATACAACAATAAATGGGCCAAGAAAGAAATCAGAGAAACATCACTCTTTACAATAGCCACAGATAATATCTCCGGGTAACTCAAGCCAAACAAATGAAAAATCTGTTTGGCAAGAATTTTAAGTTTTTAAAGAAAGAAATTGAAGAAGACATCAGAAAATGGAAAGATCTCCCATGCTCTTTGATTGGTAAAATCAGCATAATAAAAAGAGAAATCTTACCAAAAGCAATCTACAGATTCAATGCAATCCCCATCAAACTCCCAACAAAATTCTTCATAGACCTTGAAAGCGCATTACTCAGCTTCATATGGAAAAACAAAAACCCAGAATAGTTTAGGCAATCCTGTACAATAAAGAAACTTCCAGAGGCATCACCATCCTTGACCTTAAGCACCACTACAGAGCTTCAGTAATAAAAATAACTTGGTATTGGCATAAAAACAGACATATGGATCAATGGAATCTAATTGAAGACCATGACATTAATTTGTGCACATGTGAACACCTGATATAAACCAAAAAGGTATAATGGGAAAAGGAAAACATCTTTTACATGGTGCTGGCTTAACTGGATATCAATATGCAGAAGGCTGCAAATAGATCCATATCTACCCCTGTGCACAAAACTCAAGTCCAAGTGAATCAAGGACTTCAACATAAAGCCAGTAACATTGAACCTGATAGAAGAGAAAGTGGGAAGTCGTCTTGAATGCACTGGCACAGGAGATCACTTCCTAAATAGAACACCAATAGCATAGACACTGAGAGCAACACTCAATAAATGGGACCTCCTGAAACTGAGAAGCTTCTGTAAGGCAAAGGAGATGGTAAACAAGACAAAATGACAGCTTACAGAATGAGAAAAGATCTTCACCAACCCCATATCTGACAGAAGGTTGATCTCCAAAAGATACAAAGAACTCAAGAAACTACAACAAAATAATCTAATAATCTAATTTTAAAATGGGATGGAGAGCCAAACAGAGAATTCTCAACAGAAGAAACTCAAATGTCCAAAAGACATTTAAGGAATTGCTCAACATCCTTAATCACCAGGGAAATTCAAATCAAAACAACTCTAAGATAATATCTTATACGTCTCAGAAAGGCTAAGATAAAAATACTGAGGACAGCTTATGTGGAGAGGATGTGGAGTCAGGGGAACACTCCTCCACTGCTGGTGGGAGTGCAATCTTGTACAGCCATTCTGGAAATCAGTATGCAGTGTCTCAGAAAATTGGGGTTCAATCTACATTAAGACCCAGCAACGACTCTTGGGCATATAACAAAAGGATACTTAATCATATCACAAGGACACTTGCTCAACAATATTCATAGCAGCATTATCCATAATAGCCAGAACCTTGAAACAACCTAGATGCTGTCAACTGAAGAATAAAGAAAATGTGATACATTTACACAGTGAAGTATTACTCAGCTGTAAAAAACAAAACAATGATATCTTGAAATTTGCGGCAAATAAATGGAACTAGGAAAACCCATCCAGAGTGAGGTAACCCAGACTCAGAAAGACAAACACGGATGTATTCACTCATAAGTGGATAGAAGATATGAAGCAAAGACATAACCAGACTACAATCCACAGCTCCAGAGAACTGGGCATGCGGAGCAGTGGGGAGGGTGGATAGGGAGAAGGGAGAAAGAGAGGGGAGTGGGAAATATATACATACATACATACATATATATATATATATATATCAATAAAAATAATTTTAAAAAAGTTAAAAAAGAAGTCCTGGGTACTGAGTCCTCAGTAAACTTCTCTGTGGGAAGCATTTGAGTTCTCACAATTTCCTACTGGGGGAATCGAGAATGTACTGGGCTAGGAAGGGACTCCTGGGAGCTGGTTTTCTCTGGGCTTCCCCACATTACCTTTTTCCTTTGCCAACTGTTTTGGTTTGAATCTGGGGCTCCCTCTTGTGTGTGACTACTTGTTGCCCAGCTAGCGGTGCTTTTCTGAGGGTCTCTGAAGCCTTTAGGAGAGGGGGCCTATTTGAAGGAAATAGATCACTAGGGCAAGCCTTTGAAGGCCACACCCAGTCCACTCTGCTTGGTGGTCTACATAGTAAGTTCCAAACCAGCTATGATTACATAGTGAGACTCTCTCTCTCAAGGGAAAAGAAAAGAAAAAAGGAAGGGAAGGGGAAGGGAAAAAGAGAAGGGGAAAGAGGAAGGGAAAAGGACAAAAGGGAAGGGCAAAAGGAAATATTTAGTGTTATGTAATCCATGCTTGGAATCCCAGCATTTGGTAGAATACTCATTGCAAGTCTGAGGGCAGCTTGAGCCCCCATAATGAGTTCCATGGAAACTGGCTCCCCCCCCCAAAAAAAAACCCGACAAACAAAAAACAAGCCATAGAGGCATGGGGCAAAGACTGCAAAGATGAATAAGGCGTGTGCCCTGCTTTATGACATCACCATGCAGTAAGGAGACTCATTATTTCAGTACTCCCAGTGCAGCACAGAAGTGACAGGCACACAGTTGAGCGGTACAACACATGGGCAAAGAAGCCAACATTTACATTGGCCAGGCTATTTGATGCATATTTTCTTAGCCAAGCCTCACAACAGCCCAATAAAGTTGTATTCTTCTGTTTGCTTGTGGTTTTTTCATAGACACACACCAAGTATCAGTAAACAGTTCAATGTCATATAGTAATTACAAGGTGATAGGGGTCAAACTTTGGTCTGTGAAAAATACCTCAAACTGTGAGCTCAGGGAGCATTTCAGAGAGGGGTCCTTGTTATTCTTCTTTTGTACCCATGGTCCTCAACCATTATGGAGCCACACATTCCTTTTAGAGAGTAAAAGTAGGAATTTTTCTCAAAAACTTACATACAGCAACTCAGATACTTTCTATCTTAGAGGCCCCACAAACATCAAGAATAATTTCAGTTATTCTCAATATATTATTAGGTTATTGCTGCTTGGAAAATAGAAAATTCAGGAGCTAGGCTGCCCAAACCCCCACTCAGACCTTAAACTCCTGCAGTTCCAGCTTCCGGTCATTGATCTCTTTCTCCAGCTGAGCCTTTTCCACCTGCATCGCACCAGCGGTCCGTCCGTGCTGGCCAACCAGCTGCGTCATGTTCTCAATCTGCTGCCGCAGGATCTCGATGACCTTGTCCTTCTCCGCCATCTGGAGCTTAAGCGCCTCACACTCGGTCTGCACATTTCTGAGGTGGTCCCCCTCATTCTTCAGGTGTTGAAGCTCCTGTAACTTCAAGTCCACTCGCGAGCGGAGCTTAGTGATCTCTGCATTGGTGGCCTCGATGGCCCGTTCCTTCTCCTGGAGGGAAGCTGTCAGGTCGGACACCGTCCTCTCAGAACTCTCAAGGGTCATCTTCTTGGCCGTCAACTCTTCCACCACCTTGCGCAGCATCTCCTTGGTGGACTCAAGCTGTGCAGTAAGGGAGGACACTTTCTCCAGGCTCTCGTTCTTCCCCTGAATAGCTGCCATCTGCGATGAAACAAAGTTTCATAATTGTGGGGGAGGGAGGTAAGTTAACTCAGTGTGAAACCCTGCCCTGGGTAACCCAGAAAGCCTAACTTAAACCATTTTGCTGTCAGAACATTAGGCATAAAGGACATTTTTCCTCATGGAAGAGGCCACCTGGCAATGGCACAGCTTACACTCTCACCTGCCGCTCCATCTGGCCCTGACACTCGCTCTTCATGGCCTTGAGCAGGGCCTCCAGCCGCTGCACCTCCATGTTCCTGTCATCCAGCTCCCGCCGCAGGTGGTCGATGGTGATGCTGTTGCCGGTGTCTCGGTCCCACAGGCGCTTGTTCTGCTCCTTCTCCAGACTCAGCTCCTTCTCCCTCTTGTGTAGGTCTGCCTAAAAGAAGCGAGGAGCACTCTTTCTCCAGCCACTGTCACAGCCAAAACAAATTCTTCTATTTGCCTTACACAGTCTTGGAGTTATGTGATTTGAGACATCTTTGGTTACAGAAAAGAACTGCTTTTCACCAGCTGACTAAAACTGATTATTTCCTAGAAAATACACTGATAATTTTGCTTAAATATTTTAGCTGCTTTAGGAGTGGCATCTCACGCCTGTAATCTCTGCACGCGGGAGGTGCAGATTTTGTGTTCTGAATGTCATTTTGCTTCAAAATGAACACACTACAACTTGAATTTAAATGGCAGTTCTAATCGAAAGAGAGGCTACTTGAAGACCTACTTTATCTAACATGCAACAGCCACGCCTAAAGAAAAAGACACAGGAAGGTATCTTACATAAAACATTTCAAGTACACAGAATGATATCCCATGTGTATGCACAATATTTTGTAAAAATCTGTAATTTTATAATGTAAACTTGTTTTTGAAATGTACTGAAAATGTTCCCAGATTCCAAATCTCAGATTATAGAGCATGATCTCACCAACAGCTTTTGGAGTTGGTCATCCAGATTTCCCGACTCCTGACTGAACTGGTCCCGCTCTGTGCGCGCCTCGGTGAGCTCTGAGTTGGCAAGGACTAACTGCTTCTCCAGCTCTTCTATCTGGAAGAAAAGCCGAAATCAGACAAATGCAGCCCAAAAGAAGCCTGGCTAGCAGACGGTGTTGCATGAGGCGGAGCTCATAGATCTGAGACGGTTTCACTTTCCCAGCCATAACATCTCCATAGGATTCAGCACAGGCATTAGTCAAAATGGAGCACTCTGGGTACAGCACACTGTGCTTCATGCTTTTTCTCCACAGAAGTTATCTTCTGGGGAGATATGCTCTATAATTCAAAGAGTCTCTGGTGGCATAAATAATGTACTGTAGACCCCAAACAAATGAACTTTGCAATACTGAGAAGAGCTGTCTTGCTTTAGAATGTCAGTCTCAGCTGGGCATAGTGGAACACCTTTAATCCCAGCACTGGGAGATGGAGGCAAGTGGATCTGTGAGCTGAGGCCAGCAAGCCTGGTCTATGGGAGTTCTAGGACAGCCAAGGCTACATAATGAGACCATGTCTTGAAAAAAATACCAAACACCAAAAAATAAAAATATCAGAGTCTCAAGAAGATACTGAATACAAAAGAATGGGTCATGACTGCACCTGTGCCATTATGGTGGTGGATTCAATAGAATGAGTGAATAGCAATGTTTAACATTAGGGGAATACAATTCAAAACTTTATTCTCTTCAATTATAAAAAGGAATGAGAATCAGTTTTAAAGACCATATTTTTTCCTTAGTCATGAAAAAAAAAACCTTGTCTGAACAGAGGAATTCAGCTCATTGCACTAATAACAGCACAACACTCTTTCCTTGCACAAGCGCAGCATGCAGCAGGCCCACAGGAGGACCCAGGCTGCTCCAGTACTGCAAATGTTCCTGCACCTTCAACATGGGCTGGGTGCGAATCCCAGACCATGGAGACTTCTGGCTTTGATCTGAGCTGAGCCACACAATATCAACACTCAGATAATAAACTATTTCATAAGAACATGTTAGCACTCAGTGTTACGGACTGAAACCCCACCTATAACTATGGTTATTTTATCATCAACCTTCTAGGATTCAAAAGATTTTATACTGGCAGAAATGCAACACATTTCTTCCTTTTTCTAAGGTATAGTCAATAGGCTTGAAAAGTTTGGTCAAGATTAAAACTTAATTTAGATGTGATCAAACCTTCTTAACTGGAAAACATATGACCAAGACAAACGTTTTCTTAATAACTTTTTATTTTTGCTTGGAACATTCATTTAAAACTCTTAATTTATTAAACCAATATATAATCAATAATCACATTATATATATTTATACACATATATACATATTTAATCATCTTCTTGACAAATAATAAGCATAAATGTGTAGGGCTTCTGTATCTATTCACATGTACACATAAATGACTTAAGTACTAATACAGAAATATCATACAGTTATGCATTCATCTATAATATAGTATCAATGCCTACAGGGCTGAGGACATAAATTTAGACATTACATTGGATATATGTTTAAGTTGGCTTTACGTAATTATGTTATATATTAAAAAGTATTTCATAAGAATTAAGTATATAGAGTTTTAGACTCTGACTAATTATATTTGATAATGCTACAAGGCATTCTCACAAGAATTAAGTATACATGAAATACTAGATTATAGATGATATTTTATTATAAATTGCATATTAAAAACTATTTCACAGGAATCAATGGATTACCCAACTGAACTACCATCCCAGGCTTAAGAAGTATTTCTGGACTGGAGATATAGCTCAGTGGAAGAGTACCTGCTAGACTTAAGCCCAGGGCTACTACTACTACCACTACTAATGACAAAAGAAAAACAAAAACAATAAGAAAATGAAAACAAAAAATCCTTCATTCTTATGATCCTTTGGAGGCATATACACGGAGAAAACATGAAACTTTAACCTCTGTAATAGAAGTAACTTCTGAGAAAATGAACTCTCAGTTAATGTAATCTTTCCAGTCCTGTCATTATTGGGAAAGCCCAAGTGGGCACACTGAGGAGTGAAGCAAACAGAGATGGGAACCACAGGGTTTTACTGCGCTCACACAGCAGTTCTGCTGGCCTGGAGGGATGGCTAGGCTGCACTGGGTTCTGGTCAAGGTCCTGCATCCCACCTCGATTTTGCTAAAGGGGCAATATTTTAAAAGTATTCTGAATTATCATGAGTGGCTCCTAGCTTGGCACAAGCCATTTCTATCCTTGAGCAAGAGCTATTGTTTATGTTCTTTAAAAGTAGGTCTGTTTTGACTGCAAAAGAAAACCAGGAGGCTCTCTCGTAGTACCAGGCTGGACAATACTATCTGAGACAGAAACTAGGAGAGGAGCGGGGAGGGAAGAGCACATCGTTCCTGTCTGCCCAGATCACAAGTCCCCCGACCCGCAGGAAACCTAGTTTTGGAGTTGTCAGTACTGACTCAGCTGCTATATAGCTCTGCTTTTACCTTTCACTTTTTAGAGTAAAAACCTCTGTATGAATCAATCCAACAAAATAAATAAATGGACAGTGAAAGGGAAAACCCTGACGTAGCAGCTGAGCTGGTACCAACAGCTATAAAAAGACAACTCTGCACGAGAGCCTTTGAAATGTCCAGGAGGCACTGACAACTGACTAGAGAAGCACTGGTTTCCCTTTCACCATCCATGGACAGACGTTTTGGTTTGGATCAAAACAAATCAGTACAAGGGTTTCGTTCTAATTTCACTGATTTTAGGGGTATTAGCCAATCGTATCAAATCATATTGGATCTGTGCTTTATTTATTTACTTATTTTTTTGGTGGTGCTTTTGCTTTCATTCTGTGCTCAAAAAGACACAGGTGTGGCCCAAGGAGGGCGCTGTGCCTCAGCATAAGGCTGCACAGAACTCTGGGAAGAACTTTGCAGGCTCTTCCAACATAGTGGACAGCTCAGTCAGTGCTACTAAATCTTCACAGCGGACTAGGAAATCCAGCCCCAGTACTTTCAAATTAGAATAAACTTAGAATCAAGATAATGATATATTTTTGTTGTCAAAAAGCGAAAGTTAAGAGTAAAGCCAGATCTACAGAGCCAATAGTGACAGCTTCTACTGGTCCGAATTCGTAAAGGGGAATTCTGGAGGTTCTCCTAAAAGGGAAAAAAAAGAATAGAAGACAGCATTATAGTTCAACACTCTGATCAACTTTGAAAAAGCTACATCTAAGATTTTCTTTAATATACAATTTCTATTTTCACAATATGAAATACTTTTTGTTAACCTGAAAAGAATTGTCCTACATCATGGATTTTTTTTTGAATTTACACACCCTAGGTAGAAAAGTTTCATTCAGTCCTTTAAAAAAACAAACAAACAAAACAAAACAAAACAAAACAAAAAAAACTTTGTTTTTAAGGCATATCTCGTCATGTACCCCAGCTGGTCTTAAACTCACTTATGTAGCCAAGGATAACCTTGAATGTCTGGTTACCCTGCCCTTACTTCCTGATTACTGGGATTTCAGGCATGTGCACCAGGACCCTGGTGCTGGGATGGAACCAGGGCTTTAAGGATGCTAAGCAGGCACTCCCCCAACTGAGCTCTATCACAATCAATAGGTATTAACTTTGTTGACCTCTCCTTTGGTTTTTGAACATTATATACTGAAATCTGCACTGAAACAATGAAGGTGAAAATGGATTTTAAGTTTTTAGCAATGTGAAGTCACAATATGTGAAAATGAAACAAAATATGCACAAGCGTATGCTTTTAAACCCTGCAGCCAACTTTCCCTGACAAGACATTTCACAGTAGACTGTGTCCTTCCAAAGCAAATTCTTGTTAACTTGCTTAATCTTTGTTACTCAGTTACATCAAGTATTAGTGAAACTTCAGGCCAAAGTGTATTTAACTCCATATTAACATGTATTCTCGAACAAAGGCAACAGGAGTTGCTTCCTCTTGAGAGCCTAGTTAAGTATCATTAGATCCATCTCTTATGATACATTTCATCAACATTTCAATGGTCTAGATCAAGACTGATGTGTGTCCCTTTCCCTTTCTTGAGATAGAATGTAGCTAAGGCAAGCCTTGAATGTGTGATCCTCCTAAATCAGCCTCCCATGTGCTGGCTCTCCTTATAAACTGGATGAAGCTCATGAAGAGATCATTTTTCCAAGCTAATGGAGAGCCATAGTAATTTCAAATTATATAAGTAAATACAGGTGAACTGAGCTGGATTTAGTAGTCTATGACTTTCAGAGTCTGATGTCAAACTACAACCCCTTAGTCAATCATAAGATCAGTTGAATGATCCTCAAATCAAATCTGAAGAGGAGAAAACATCAGCTCACATTTACTAGAGATAAATGTTGTTCTGTTGCTCCATCTGTGTGTGTGACTGAACGCAGTGATCAGAACAGCTGAAGGACACTACTGTGGAGGACCCTATTTAGTACTGACGTTCTACAGTTTCACGCTAGGTTCCTCTGCTGACTCTAACAAAGCAAATCTTCCTTCTCTTGCTACAAGGTTAAATGCAGAGATCTAATTTACATGGTTGAGCCAAGAAGATAGCACCTTCATGTAGTAACTGGAGGGACAGTGGGAATTAAACTGCTGCCCACGGAGAAGTAAATAAACGTTTACTCATTTGTGTGAGTCTGTCCACACAGTGACCGGCTTTTTCTACTGCCACCCAACAGAACTGTTTTCATTTTATAAAAGGCCCAGTACCTGCATGACCTTCTACCTCTTCTAAATCACTCCAAATAACTAAGAATGGGAAACTGAGTAAACAAGATGGCAAATACTATACTTAAGTGACCTCTGCCAGACTCTCTAAAGGGAGGACTAGAGATGAATTTGTCCTCCACACTTTCACAAACTAAGGCACTGGTACAGCACTGAGACTGAGAGCACCCGAGGCAAATGCAAGCAACCCTCCTTGGGGAAAGAAGAACAACATCTCTGAAAAGCAGCTTTGTTTTTGGTTTAGGAAATTTCACTGATTGAAAATGGTTGAATTTAATACATTTTTAAGCTCTGGACAAATGGTTGATAATAATATGAAATAACTTCTTTTTAGCTATTTAAAACCAAAAAATAGAAACAGTACCAAAATTTTTAATTAAAACAAATTTTAATGACATGTACATGTATGTGTGTCTGTGAGTGGGTGTGTCTGCATGAACACTAGAGCCCATGGAGATGTCAGACGTCCCTGGAGCTATGGGCAGTTATGAACACCTGCCATGGGTGCTGGGAATTGAATTTAGGTCCTCAGTGGCTCAGCCATCGCTCCAGTCCTGCCTCTCCAAAATATTTTCTGATTTTTTTGTTTTTTGTTTTTCCTTTTTGTTTTTGTTTTTCAAGACCGGGTTTCTTTGTGTAACAGCCCTGGCTATCCTAGAACTCACTCTGTAGACCAAGCTGGCCCACCTGCCTCTGTCTCCCGAATGCTGGGATTAAAGATGTGCGCCACTACCGCCCAGCCTCTTACCTGCCTTTAAGAGCAATTATATGCTAAAAGATGAAGACTCACATTCTTAAATTTTAACTATTTTGGGTAATTTTAAATTTTAGTTTTCTAGTCGCAAAATGATTAGAAGTTGATGAGTTGTAGGTCCCCAAAACATTGGTGGTAGATATACAGGCCAGCTGGTACTGAATATTTGCTAAAGCCAAGACTTCTATAAAAATTAATAACAAAATCCTATTCTTTAATTTATTATTTATTTATTTTTGTGGTAGTGAGGATTAATCCAGAGCCTTGGGCATTCTAGACAAGTGTTCTTCCAGCGAGCTATATTCTCTGCTACTCAATTTACTTTTTAGTAATTTACTTGAAAAATATTTCTCAATTTTTTTATGAATTCAAAGATGCAATTTAAATAATAATTTATAACTTAATAGATAATATAGCATGCTTCACACCAACTTACACTGATTTAAAAAATACTCTTTAGTTAGAAATTATTTTTATTCTTTTCAAATTATCAACATTATATTATTGATCAGTATGTAAAACAGTCCTTGGAAGTGAAGTCTAAACTTACCTTATCTTCATACATCCTCTTGGCTTCCCTCAGTTCAGAACGCAGCTGAGAAACAGTAGACTCCAAGTCACTGAGCTGGCGCATATACATGGAGTTTTGGTTCCTTGCTTGTTCTCTAAGAAGAGTTGAAAAGGGCATAAAAACAAATAGCAAACTAAGAATACAAGTGATACCTCAAGGGCCCCTCACATCTCTTAGATGCTGTCAATAATTACTTTATATGGTATCAGAGCAACTGTTTTTCATTTTGCAAACTTGCTTCTTCAAAGTTTTAGCTCAGGATTGGGGACAAAGCTTAGCTGTATAAGATATGTGTGCTATATATCAAATTCCGTTCAGTTCCTAGCACCAAAAACAAATGTTAATTGTCAAAGCTGATATGTGTGTGTATGTGCGTGTGTGCACGTGTGTGTGAAGATATACATATGTATGTAGGTATTCATTACACTATTCTCTACTTTTGCATATTATTAAAAATGTCTGTACTGGGGGCGAGAGAGATGGCTCAGTGGTTATGAGTGTTTATTATGCAACCACGAGGACCAGAGTTATGGTCCCAACACCTACATAACAGACTGGGCATTCTGAAAATGCTAGAACTACAGCTCCAAAGAGTCTGATGCCCTCTTCTGGTCCCCACATGACAGACAGGTGCTTGTATTCACACACAGAGGTACACATACACTTATACAAACACAATAAACCTTTAATTTGATTTAAGTTTAATTTAACTGACACATGACAGTCTTAAGCATCATTTCAAATTATAAAATTTCATATGATATTATATATTATGTACGTACTTGAACATATGTACCTTTTCTAATTGTGTTCATATATGCACACAATTATATAGAGAAATATACATGCAATTATTTATATACAAGTATTCATAATATTTGTGTGGTATATTTTCTTTGTCCTATCATTTGAATGAATAACTCAGTGAATCCCAGAAGCCTGAATACTTGCAATAATACTTTGTACATGGTCACACAAAAATATTACTGTTACCTTTCTGTTCAAGTGCTGGAAAAGCTTTATCATTTTCTCACAGACCGAGTTGCCAAGCAATTTCAAAAAGATATTAGGACAACATATAAATTATTAAACAATATAAACTATTAAAACAATAGTTTTTAAATTATTATTTTACATGTATGAGTTTTGCCAGCATGTATGTATGTGCACCACGAGCATGCCTTGTGCCCACAGTGGTCAGAAAAGGGCGTTGGATCCCCTGGAACTTGTGGAGGGCAAAAGTTCTCACATGTACAGATAAGCACTGGAAAAGGCAGGAAAAGTTAAACATGCATACTTGTCTCTTCAAAGATGTTTGCCTGTTCTCCTGGAATGCTGGGAAAGAACGCAGTTCACAACCTGGTGATCCTTTGCTGTCTGATGAGTCAGGCTCCACCTACATCCCTCAGAATTTATGTTTTACTTACCCCAGACCTTTCCCCCTCCAAATCTTGACCATTGCTTCTAGGTCTTAAAATTCATCCTTATGAGAGATGTCACTTGTATTTTATAACAGCCTAAGTGACTTCTATGTTATCTTAGGACCAGGCCAATCCCAGCATTCACAGGTATTATGTTTACCTTAGTCAAGCTCCCTATAAACTCTAAATCTTGGGCACTATCTCTGAGTCAACAATATCCATTCTTCTAAAAGAAGCCAGATGTACTTTGTAAGAATCTCAATGTAAACATGTCTTAACCTCTGCTATACTCATGGGACTGAGTTAACTGCTATTGGAAAAGTTTTTCCAAAATTGTGCCATGCTTAAATATGGCTAAAATAAACCAAGTGTCAGACTCTGGAAGTTTGGCTCAGCACCTAAGCAAGGCTGAGCTGAGTTTCATTCTTCCCTCACCCAGATCCTTTTCCTGCCGGCCACAAAGCCTACAGAGACACTTCCCCATCCCCGTGTGCACAAGAACCAGAATCACAGATAACAGCAGTGAGCTGCCAGGTGAGTACGGGGACTCAAACCCAGGTCCTCTGCAAGAGCAACAAGTACTCTTAACTGCTGAGCCAACTCTCCATCTTAAAATAATAGTTTTTAAGTGACATCTGTTTCAAACCAGTAGTATAAACATACTGAATGATTTCCAGTTGACTCTGGATACTATTGGCTTGGCTTCGTGCACTGCTGGCTTTCTCCGTAAGTCCTGTTATTTCAATTTCATGTTCACTTATCAACTGCTCAATCCTACAGAAAGAATGTAATGATTGTTATGATACAGGAAATTCTTACCTATAACTCATCTCAAAGTTAATGCAGAAAAACACTTTCAAGCTTAGTATTTTGTTTCAGTTTTACACGTAACTCTTCCACTTGTGTGTCTGAGACAGACTTTTGTGCAGTCCTCACAAGTCTTGAATTTATAGGCAATTGTCCTGCCTCTACCCCCTAAGTGCTGGGATTACAGACCTGAGCCACCATCTGGTTTTGTAAACATTACTCCTTTTTCTTTCTGTCTTTATTTTAATTGTTTCTTTTGGAGACAGGGTCTCTCTTATTATGTAGCTCTGGTGTACTGGAACTTGCTATGTAGACCAGGCCACCCTCAAAGTCACAGAGATCTGTCTGCCTGTGTCTCCTGAGTGCTGGAACTAAAGGCGCCACCACCACACCTGGCCATTCTATTCTTTTAAAAAACAACTCCAGAAGCCTTTTCTTACAACCAACTAGGTTCAGAATTCAGAATCTAAGTCTCAGTGTCAAACTCTGAGAGCCAAGCAAGGCAACAGTGGTATGTGCCTCTGGTCCTGTACTTGAGAAACTGATGCAGGAAGATCACCGGATTGCAGGCCAGACTGGGCAACAATAAGACTGTTCTCAAAGAAAACAAACACCTTTGAGTATTATGAATAATGTATGTAGCATATGTCATATGGTATCTCTAGGGAGACCTAGGGGAGGGTCCTATCAAGAAAACACATTATGAATACAAGTTTACAAATATTTACACTAAGTCACAGACTATTAAATGCTTCATATTAGCTAATCAACAGATATGTGACAGATCACTCTTAGGTCAACTGAGGCTGTTCTACCTAGGCCTTGACCTTGGCCACTCTGGTTGGTCTTTGACCCAGGCCAACCACAGTGAGAATAGTCTCATTCTTGCTATCTGACCAATCCTTGACAGCTGATCAGGTTGCTTGTCCTTCAGTTTAAAAATCTATATCTATGGCCTATCTTTTGTGGGAACCTTCAACCTTCTGTGAATAATGATCCGCCCACCAGTCCCTCACCTTCTCCCTTGGTTAGAAATCTCTGCTTGTCCTTATTGTGTTGGGAGTTGAGCTTATTCTCTCTGTGTAGCAAAACTTACAGTGCCACAGTCTTGAATGGACTTCAACAGTGGTCAGAAAAAAAATTAACCTAAGTTTGCTACGAGTTGATAAGGAAATGTTTTTGTTCTCTCAGAGTTTGCAGACTTTCGAAATGCAGGAGAGAGAGACCATAAGTGGGGTAGTTCCACTGTGATTTCTACGCCTCGACCAGACACCTACCGATCTTGATGTTGTTGAAGTAATAGCTCTATTTTGTTCTGTGATTCAGATTTCAGTGTTTCAAGCTGATCCTCTACCTGGTTTTAAAATAGAGATATTAATTTGGGTACTGGTAATTCTAAACCTAGAAAATGCAGTTTCTGTAAAATGAATGCTTTCAAGAGATATAAGTAGAAATAATACTAAAATGAGTTCTACGCCTGTGTCACACAGCACTGTGCTCTGCTATACTTACATCAAGCCACACAGGTAAAAGAGCTAGTTTCCTGTCAAGAGAGAGCACTGCGTATCATCTCGGAGAACAGAAAATGAGACCCTGGCTTATTTACAAGGATTGTATAAGCTATCTCTCAATGCATTATAATATAAAGTAGTGTTCTCACCACTTACTGGAAATATCCTCCCTTTAAGATAAGAGATCTCTGTGTCTAATTCTCTTAGGATTTTACTAATAGCGGAGCCCAGGCTGCGGAAGTGCATGGTAGACATGCTGTCGTGTTCACATATTTTCTTGCCTGAGGCTTCTTCAAAGTCAACTAATATTGACCGGATTTCTTGAAGCACACCTTCGTGGCTAAGCATCATTTTTCTTAGCTGCTCTATCTGTGTGCTGCTGTCTTTCAGCATGTCCTCCTTGAGGCATTTGGCAGCTTCAAGCTCATGAACTGTATTTTGAAGCTGATTTCTTAACTCCTCTTGGGACTGACTCTCCCTTCGTCTACGAAACAAATGAAAGAAAAGAAACAACATTGATAAAGCTCACTTTCACCCAATTTTACTACAAGGAGTAAAAAAATTGATACAGAATTTTGTTATATATCCCAGGCTGGCCTTGAACTCACAGCAGTCTTCCTATCTCAGCCACCCAAGTCCTGAGATTATATGTATTGAATATGGGACTGCACCCAGCACTAAGAATAACACAGAGAGCAGTGTCTGGGCTGGGTCGTATCTAAGTGGCAGAACACTTGCCTAACCTGCCCAGACCCTGTCTCTAGCATTGATGGAGGAGGAGGAATTCAGGTAGCAAATCCCAACCTGATGTCGGCCATGGCATCTCTCTCCATCTGCATTTCTTGAAGTTTTGTTTGTAAATCAATGACTGACTGTCTTAAGTAAAACTTTTGTTTCTCGTGTAATTCATTGCTCTGGAAAAAAAACTCACACAAATTAATATATACTTATATTAACCCATCAAAACATAGTTCCTATAGAAGGCAATAATTTCCCAAGGGTTATGTGTTATTTATTGTTATGTATACAAAAACCCCTCACTGCTGAAGTTCGGAGCCCAGTGAATAATTTCTCACCTAGATAACCAGAAGACATCAGCAAGGTTCCCTGGCTTAGCCTTAGTCCATTTTCTGAAACAAATATTCCAGCCAAAATGAAAATGGGAAAATGTTTTGTCCCTTAAAACTGTAAAACTGGTTGAAATTATATATACAGAAAAGTCAAACTTTGCCTTCAATCTACCTGATTCCTTGGCAACAGCTACTGCTATCTAAGACTATAAGGGTGAACTGGAGAGACAGCTGTGGTTAAGAACACTGGCTGCTCTTGCAGAGGTCCAGGGTTTGAGTCCCAGCAGTCACAGGGCAGCTGACAACTATCTTTAATTTCAGTTCCAGGGAATCTGATGCTCCCTTTAGACCTCTGTGAGCACTGCACACACATGGTGCACATACATACATGCATGCAAAACATTTATATGCATAAAATAAAAATAAATTGTAATGTAAAAATAAAACTCTGAGGGTGCTTAACTACAGGAAAATGCAGAGATTTCCAAAGCCAGGCACTGAAGCATCTCCCAGCTAACAGCTAGTGACCAGTGTAGGATGAAGCTTTTATTGCCTCAAAAACCACTGAAAATGAGAAGATTATAAAATACAAAACTAGAGACTAAAATTAAGCAAACAGAAAAAACAAAAACAAAAACAAATCCAGAGGATAAAGATAATACAGGATTTTACTCTAACCTAACACTGACCCTGTGCTGGCAGAGGCTCTAGTACTGCATACAAAGATCACAACCATATGGAATAGGAAGTTGGATGTTGGTGGGATGTGCTTTTAATCGCAGCACTCAGGAGGTAGAGGCAGGCAGATCTTTGAGTTCAAGACTAGCCTGGCCCACATAGTGAGTTCCAGGACATTCAGGGCTATACAGAGAAACCCTGTCTTGAAAAACTTTAATAACTTTAAAAACAAACAAACAAAACAGAAATGAGAACAGGATGCTAAGGCTGGCCAGAGGCACACACCTAAATTCCTTAAGGTTGGGAAGCTAAGGCAGGGGGAAGTCAAGTTTAAGGCAAGCCTGGGCTACAATGAGACCTTGTTTAAGGAAGAAGGATAAAGAACAGAAGGCAGAAAGATAAAGGGAGGGAGAGAAAGGGGGACGAAGAAGGGAGAAAGCAGCAGCAGCTAGCAGTAGAGTGGGGTCACCATAACATGAGGCGCTGTATTAAAGGGCCGTAGCATTGGGAAGGTTGAGGACCACTGCACTAGGCTAATGCCTAGCACTATCAGAGGGATAGAGACAGTACTGTCAGAGGCTGCAAAGTGAAGTGAGGGAGGGAATGTCAAGCTCCATGTAGCTTCAGCATCACCAGTGAACCCACCTACAGCACAACTCTGACAGGATTATTTCCTACTGGAGTATCTCAATCATAGGACTACAAGGAAGGGATCGCGTCTTTTCCATCTCTTTATATCTGGTACCTAGCACATTTCTGCTTCATAGGAATACAATAACAGCACTCTTTGATAAATATTACAAATACTTCACAAATGTTTACTGGGAACGAAACAAATGCAACATACTCTACTAGGAGTTAACAGGAATAAATTAGACATAGAAAATAAATTAAGGCGCTCTCTCCTGTCTCCCCCTCCCCCACATGCGGGAGGACATCTCTTGGGAATCTACTCTCTCCTGACACCTTGTAGGATCCTCAGGCTGTCAGGTTTGGGCATTAGCACCTCTACCCACTGAGCCATCTTGCCGGCCCAATTACTGTTTCTTTCTCAGCTACTCCGCCCTCTGTCTCTATTATGTCTTCTTGTTGTATTCATCACAAGGTCGCAGCACTACTTGTTTATATGACTACTTCATCTCTCAAACTATAAACTCCTGTGAGAGTTGTGGTTATTTATCTTTGTATGCCATGTGTATAATGCAATGATACATATTATTTTACATTTAATGTTCATCTCCTAAAGTCTTTATCTAGTCTGATGAGGCAGAATAACATACTGATGGATACAGTAAGGTGTACAAAAGTGTACAAACAATACTTGCAGAGAGAACACCCTCAGTGCTGTCTAGAGGGAAGGCTTCAGAGAAGGGAAGGCATGAAGAGAGTCAGAGTCTTGCAGCAGTCACATAGAGATGCGTGGGAAGCTAGAATGACAAGGTCCACCCAGGAGGCTCAAGTGGCTTAGTTCTGCTGGAACAGAGGGTGCACACAGAGAATGGGTACTGAACAAGGACAGCATGAAGCTCTTGTATATGGTGGTAAGAAGTCTGACTTTTTAGAAAGTAAACCAATGGAACTCAAAACCCAGTTTGGTTTTATATGAAGTTCACTTGACATTTTAGCAACCCTTTTAAATTCTATTTAACCATTCTCTGTGTGTATGTGTAAAAATCCTACTTTCTACCACTGTTTGAAAAAAAAGAAAAAGAAAAACCCACCCAGGTATCATAATAGTAGGTCAGCAGGCCTAAACCAATTAATAGCATATGAATGTTATTAACATTCTTCAGCATTCAAAAATTTTGAATATTCAAAAATTATATCATGAGACCGAGATATTATTACCAGGAAGAAAATGGTATGTAAACGTCTCATTAGCTCAACAGAAAGGAACTTCTCCTTTCTGTTGAGCTAATGCTTTCTTTCAGGAGGGTTATATTTGATTTCAAGACAACATGTCTCCTTGGCCTAATGGTACCAGCTGCTAGCAAGGAAGGAATGCAACTCACTTCACTGAGTCTTTTCTGCAAATCTTTAACTTGATGTGAATATTCTTCCAAAACACGTTCGATGTGTTCTTTCCCAGGGTAAGGGATGACCTTCCTATGAGAATCAAGTTCCACTTCATACTTAGGGAAAAAAGGCTTTTGTGTTAAAGTCCCAGATGAAGATGCATTTTCAGTTATTGTTCCACGAACAGATGACACAAAAAATGGGCTTGAAGAACCTAAACAGTAGAGAATTCATTAATTATTCACAAAACAAGTTTGTGGCAAACATTATTGCAGGGGGCTCCTTTAACAAACCCTAAAGGACACAAGGTCAAAAGAAGCAAGTGAAAGGACAGTTAAGAGTGCTGAGGACAGGAAGAGCCACAGAGCAGGGACAGGCTGAGGAAGAGGAAGAGCACGTGACCTGGAAAGTCTGGAAGTATGTCTGAGTGAGCGCCAGTCTGGAGAAGACAAGAGGACATTCCAGAGTGGAAGCCCCGTATTAAACGCCAGTGGGCTTGAGAGGGCTGGGATGTGCTAGGCAGAAAAAAAGCCGCTGCCACATATAAGGATGAGAATACAGATATGAGGGCTTTGAAGTCATGCTAAGAAGTTTGGATCTCACCTAGTATGGTATAGTTTTGAACTGGAAAGAGATCTGGGCACAGGAAATATTTCTTAGTGGTGTCAAGACCCTGCTGTGATAGGAAACTGTGACTGTCAGTGCAGCCTGGGGTGAGATTCACAGCACCATCTTCCAGCAGCCTTGCCCCCAAACTGAGGTGTTAGAGTGATAAGTGTTAACATGTTCCAGTGAGAATGCAAACAATAGAGGGGAAGGACACTGGCAAGTGATGGGCTGGACATGCAGACAGAAGAGCAGTAATTTAGAAGTAAATATAAGAATCTATAATAGCTGTTGTAAATATCTTTGTAATATATCAGAATCACTTGAGAAACTTGAAAATAATAATACAGTTGTGTCTAAGCCCCATTCCGGACCTACTGCATCAGAATTTGCAAGTGTGAATCTAAGGCATTTAAACGTTTAGAACTGAAAAGGCTGGGTGGGGTGGTGTTGATATGGATCACGGTTAGTAAGCCACTACTTGAAAGTAGGCAGGAAAAAAGGAGCTCCATAGCAATAGCACAGAGGAGGTGAGAGACAGGTTACAGAAACCCAATACTTGCTAACAAGATGTGTGAACTGGGATGGAATGGGGCTGGAGGGATGACTCAGCAGCTGATAGCACTTGTTGCTCTTGCAGAGAACCCAGGGTTGATTCCCAGGACCCATCTAACTCCAGATCCAGGGGATCTGATGCCCTTCTGACCTCAGAGGGCACCAAGCACACACATGGTACACAAACATACCTACAGATAAAACACTCATACACATAAAATAAAGTAAACCTTAAAAGTTAAGTAAATAAATAAACAAAAAAACTTTAGAGGTCAAGAAGTTGTGCACCTAGGATCTTGATGGAGAACGACGATACACCAAGGAGGAGAGGCGATTTGACAGGAGCTGAGTCTGACCAGGAAACACTGAAGGATGTGAAGGCACTGGGGGACGGCAGCAGACGCCGGTACTCACGGATGTCAGCACAGAAACAACTTATACATCAAGAAGACAATGGAAACATATGCTAAAGCCAGATCTGCTCAGGAAAACTGCGAGGCAAGCTCTAATTCAGAAACAGAATCGGAAACAACAGCCCAGTAGAAAAACAAGGCACACCATAAACCAGGCCCTGAGATGGTTATTATGAAGATGTATTATTTCTCATTTTTCCCTCAGTTTGCTTTAGAAAAGGTACATACCTCCATTGGTTGTGATGCCACTTGATAAAAGATCTTCATTGTTTGATTCACAAGCTTTTGATTCCATACTAACTATTTTCTACCTCTTCTTAGAGATCTTAAAATGTGAGTGCCTCCCTGTTTGGATCCTTCAGTTCTTGTCCCTGAAAGACAAAATATTCAATTTTATTATGGTGGTCTGTGGAAAAGCTCATAGGCGAAAAGGAACTGACTTTTAATGCTCTGGAAATTTTTTCTCCAGAAAAATATCTATGCCTACAAAAATATTTTACCGCTAAATAAAACGAGTATGCAAGTTAAATTTTGTTCTAAAACTTGATTTTAAGACCAAGGCTGTTTTTATTTGTTTTATTTGTTTTGTCTGGACAGGATCATCTAGACAAAACAAGGTATCCTTGACTGGCATGGAACTCACTCTGTACATCAGGCTGGCCTTGAATCTCAGAGGATCTGCCTGCTTCTGCCTCATTAGTGCTGGGACTAAAGATGTGCTCCACCATGCCCAGCCTTCAAAGGGTTACTACAGATAAACTAAAATATAAAGAGTAATACTTCAGTTGTTCTGTTAACTAGTGCTCTGATTGGGAGCAGGTAGGCTTTCAAGTCCCTTACAAAATTACATTGCTTCAAATCAGCAAATAAGATGTCATTAATAAAAGCTAAAAACTTATATGAACAAATATTATTTACAGTATTTATAGTTTTATATTTGGTCAAGAGGGTGCTTCTAAGTTTGGAAAACAATGGTGGCCTAATTCCAAATTTCTCCTTATTTTCACTCAAATAAGCACAAAATCAAGATGGAAAACCAACAAAACTATGTGTGTATTCTACACTGTCAGTACCCTCAAGACAGAATACCTTCAACTATCTAGAAATAGAGGGATTCTCCCTCCCACGGCAGTTCCTACCATCTGGCTGGGAAATGGGAGAAACTGGAAGGGCTCAAAGAACAGAGGTGAGCCATACACTGATGGTGCAGACCAGTGCTTTCCTCCGGCCAGACAACAGAAGCCAAAACACTGAGCCCAGACTGGTCAAGTCTCCTCCGCCAAACAAACAACACGAAAATTACTCCATTACACTCCAAGGTAAACACTGGAGTACCATATATATAAACATATACTCAAACAAGTATATACACCTTTGTAAATGACAAAATAATTTAAAAATAAACAGGAAATATAAGACACCTAATAATTATAGACAATACAGTAATGTGACCAGTAGGTGACAGAATTTTAATCAAATGGCAGCCATGCCCCTAAACTTGAGGAGACTGCCCTGCTCTGTGAGCTTTAAGTAGCTGGTCACAGGTCACCCCCATGCCCTCCACCCCATTAGAAAGGGTGGAAAGGGTTAGCCCAGTGGGTAATGTGCACGCCTGGCAAGTACAAGACCCTAGATTAAACCTGAGGACCACACAGGCCCCAGGCCAGAGTAAGACCACAGCACAGGGTTGGGGTATTTTTACTTACACAAGAGTTAATAGCAGCTGCTTCTTTGTCAAGATGTTTGGTACCTCTGTTTGGCATTACTGCCAGTTATTTTGTGAACCTTAGAATAATGAATTCTGCTAAAACAAAAAAATCTCAGCAATTCAGTTTGCACTATTTTAGAATGGCCCACATCTTCGTTTTGAAGAGTGATTCCAAGTTCCTCCACTTTGTGATACTTTATATAGAAATTTAGATACTCTATTTTTAGGCACAAGTTTGTAAGATTATTAAGGATTTCTGGAATTGAAGGATTGTTCCTCAGGAAATGATAAAATTGTTGAGCTCCGTACTTGGATAATTTGGGGATCATAACATGAACTTACAGGTCTGTTTTGTGTGTGTGTGTGTGTGTGTGTGTGTGTGTGTGTGTGTGTGTGTGTTAGAGACAGAGAGAGAAAGAGAGAGTATCTGCGTGTGAGAGTGTGTGTGTATTGTGTGAGTGTGTATGAGAATGTGTGTGTAGTGTGTGTGTGGCACCTGGGAATCAAATATAGGGCATGGTACATATAAGACAAGCTTCCTGCTGCAGAGCTGCATGAAATGCACAGGTGAGATCTTGGCGTGTTCTGGCACACCTAAGGTCTAGTACAAACACTTCTGCATCACTTAAAATTATGCACACGTTCACACTGAAAAGAGCCTTAAAGTTGTGACAAAGGCAGTCATGATTGGAATGTTTGAGAAAAGGACTTGGAAATCGCCCACATACGAAGAACTTTAGAAGATAGTTTGTAGACTTTAGTAGAGTTGAGTTCAAGGGCTTAGAGGCATCTCCTGACTTATTTATTCTTCCTCCTTGAACCCCAAAAGGCTCTGGAGGATGGACAACCCCTGTCCTAGAGTGAACAGTCCTCATCTTGACTTCTTTCCTTAGGACGCTCAGATAAGGTGGACCTCTCTCGACTATGACAAACTACATCTCCGTGGCAAGGTAAGTCATGGCTGCAGTCCTGTTCTGATTGGCTATGTTACTTAAATGTAGGTCTTTCAGATTCTCCGATTTGTCAACTAATGACCCACACCTACAAGGTTGGACCATTCTATCTTCCATAGAAATTTGAGGCTGGGGAACCCCAAGGATTGGTGTACATGCCCCTAAAACCAGCCTGAAAGTATAAAGAGGATAATACTGAACAGTACTTAACTGCCGGAGTTTTTAATTAGTTCATTAATTAAGTACTGCGTATTAACTTCACATTGACCTGCATTTTATTCTCAATCACACTCTTTTTCTTGAGCTGTTGTCATCCAGGCTCAAGAGCCCTGGATGCTTTGAAGTGTCACTTCTGTGACCTGTGAACAACATTTGACACCTTAAGATTATGATATAGAGATGATGTGCATATTTCCTAAGAGCAAGGGTTAAATGAAAGAACTCATGAATAAGCCCTCCTATGCAGAACCTGCCTCAAAATATATGCATACGGTACTGCCTAACAGGGCAGTCATAACATGATTAGAATATATGCACACAGTACCATCTAACAGGGCAGTAATAACATGATTAGAATATATGCATACAGTACCACCTAG